GAGCAGCCCACACACGAGCTTTTAAACAGTCTTGTGGGAAGCCTTTAACTGCTGTACAATAGGTATTCATGCTGAACACTCCAAAGGCCTTCTCTAAATCTCTAAAAACAATGCTCAGGTCTTTAGCTCTCATTCAGCTGCCTGCTGTGCTGTGTCAGGCACAGTTAGTGAAGGAGGAAAGCTGTGAAAGCCCCAGGGCACGGGGATTCGCAGAGATTATCCTATAAACATAGAGGTGATGTTTGACTTTGCCACCCATCTTTCCTCTTTTCCCCTCCTTTGACATCCCACCCTTACCTCCCTCCAGACAGCTGTCCACCAGCACCATCACCACGTCACTCAACACACATTTAGCCACACAGGTTGGTTTCAGAATGAACTGTACGTGGAGTAATGATACGAAAATGGCCCAGTTTTAGATTTAATATCTGTCAGGTGCTTAAACAGAAGCCATGATTCGCCCAACCGCCCTTCCCACCCCAAGTTCTTGTGTGCTTCCGTTTGTAGCCCCAAGGTTAATGGGTTACCACAGACTCAAGCTCAAGGGACCACAGACCAGCTAGATGGGATCATTAGTAGCCTGTAAGGGAGAGGTGCAGGCTTACCCCTGAGGCCTGGGTGGACAGGAGGGCACTGGAGGTCTAGAGGTGGTGCTGACACAGGATGGAGTCATCAGTGAGGCCTCTCAGAACTTTGCAGAAAGCATATGCCAGTCCTCTTCAGGAACTTGTAATTAAAAGGAGAAGCCAGCCCACCAGCCTCAGCTCAGCCACTGCTGTGTGGGAAGTACTGAGGACCAACCCCAAGGGGGTGCAGACCCTTCCCTGGAGATGCCTAGGAGCAGGGGCTGGGCTGGCCTAGAAGTCCAAGATACCCCTCAAAGTCACCTCTGCAGATTCGGCTGAAGAAGAGAGGGCTTTATAGAAGTGCCCCTGGGAGAGGAACCAGGAGAGAATGAGTTTCTTGGTTTAAAAACAAGCAGAGGACTCGAGGGAGATAGGAGTACTGAACCAGGCCTCGGACAGTGCCAGCCCGAAGCCTGCTGGCCCCGTTTCAGTAACCTCTATGAATGCAGAAGCAGAGGGCTGCCAGCGAGAGAGCTGTGTGAAGAGTGGGGAGGCATCATTCAGAACCTAAGACTGCAATGGATCCATCCCTATAGGCCTGCACAGACAGACAGACACTGCAAAAGCATGAAAATGGCCAATTTTCGACTTCATATCTGTCAGGCACTTAAACAGAAGCCATGATTCGCCCAACTGCCCCTCCCACCCCACGTGGGAGGTGCATTCCGTACAGAGGGCTCCCTGTGGATTCCTGCCCTGCCTGGGGCTTCCTTCTAGGAGGCCAGCTACTCTGTACCCCTCTTAATAAGGTTGGGGCTTAAGGAGTGGAATGGCTTTAACCTGAGTGTGTGTGATCCTGGGAAGGCTTCTGCCTTTCATTTGCAAAGAAAGGCATCTGCTTGCTTGAAGGAATTGCAGGTTAAGGAGTAAGAAGATTGAGAATGGAGGTGACCTATAGGAGCATGGTAAATACACAATTTTCTCTACTCAGTGAGTGAATTTTGATTATAACTCAGTACTCGCCTCGAGTGCTAAAGTATTGTTTGTATTCTCAAGAAAGCCTGGAAAGGACAAAATGCAGAAAAAGCCTTTCACGAAGAAAAACACAGGCTCTCCAGTCCCTCTTTGTAGCTTCTTGAACCCAGGAAATTGAAATCGCAATCAAGCTTGCCTTCACTCTGTCCTTGGTTACCATTTCACATACTGGCCTGTCATACAGAGTGTGGGAAAGCACAGCAGATCAATAGCTATTCCTGGTTAACACTTCACGGCTTTTTTTTCTTTCTAAAACAGGACACCACCCCCCCCCAACACACACACACACACTGATTGCAGCTTCTTATATCCAAGACATATTATCATGGTCTGTTTATGGAAATAAATGTTTAGAAGGAGCACTATTTTTTTTTTCTTTTGAGGTTTTTTGTACCTTTTAATCTAAAGATGGGGCTGCGATGCTTCCATAAAATTGTTGCTTTCATTCCTTGGCAAATGGCTGTTAACTCTCAGGTTTGAGAAGCATGTAAAACTTACTCGATGGGCCAGCTGGACCCTGGATGAGTGCCTGGTACTTGTAGAAACCTCCACAGAGGTGGTCTGGGCTGCAGGGGTCTCTCCCTGCCCGACACAGCCCTCTGTGAGTCTCTGCGTGCCGGGCTACACAGCCCTGCTAGCATTAGCAGTGCTCAGCTTGCTTTGTTTACCTGCAGTGACGCTCATCTGAGCAAAATCCTTAAGTGTTTTTTTATTGAAAATGATAAGCCACATGAGGTTGTATATGAAAAAGTGAACCACTGAAAATAGCCCCTCAAAGCACATGCCCCCTATTATACGAAGGCTAAATTAGCAGAAGGCTGGCGGTTCAAACCCACCAGCCACTCCTCAGAGGGAAAGTTGGGCAATCTACTTCCGTAGTGATACCGCCTCGGAAACCCAAGGAGGGGTCGCTATGAGTCAGGTCCGACTTGACGGCACATAACAACAAAGTTAGCTGGAAGCTTTAAGTGGCAACTTTTTAAGTTCCTAATGGCACTCTGGAGCAGCCAGCAGCAGATTAGTAAGGAGTAGAATTCTCGTCTTCCATGCAGGAGACCTGGGTTTGATTCCCAGTCAATGCACCTTAAGTGCAGCCACCCTCCATCTGTCACAGAAGTCTTGCATTTGCTATGATACTGAACAGGCGCTCCCAGTCTAAGATGGACTAGGAAGAAAGGCCTGGTGATCTACTTCCCAACAATCAATGACAAACCTATAGATGACAACAGTCCACTCTGCAGCCGACGATGGGGACGAAGCAGGAGCAGGCAGTGGTGTATTCCATCGTTCACAAGGCAGCTGTGAGTTGGGGACCAACTAGGCAGTAACTAACAATAATAGAACTCTAAAACATTGCAATAACATACTTTTTTTTTTTTTTTTGGTAGGAGAGTGTAATAGAGCATGTCTCCCTCTCATACAGCTTTCTAACTTCAAAAGCTGTGGAGGAGGCAGGACAGATATTTCTAGGCCCATTTTGAAGGTGAGGAAGGAAAGGTTGATGGAATCATTCAAGGTCACCCAGAGGGTCACTTTCTGGACAACCTTGACTCCTGGGTCAGGAAATCAGGACTACATACCAAGATCCAGTGAAACATGACTGAAAAAGACACACAGCAATGTACATTTCCTCCTAAACCCCAACATCTTAGCTTACCTATCTTCCCCTTTCACTAGCTCCAGTCAATGAACAGTATACATCCAAACTTCAGAAATAAACAATTGTCAAAGATATTAAAATGCAAAACAAAATTTCTTGCCCCAGGGAACAAACTAATACAAAGTGACAAAATAATGGACGTTTGCATGCGTTCTCCAAAGTGGCCATAAAATGGAATTCAGAATCATATTTTAACATGTACACCATACACTTGCTTTGTCAAGAATAATTGGTGGTGAATGCTCATTTATAAAACAAAGCCAGGAAGTGAAAAAGAAATAGTGAAATGAGGGAGGAGAGATATTGAGAGAGAGAGAATGAGATCTGATGCTTGAATGAGAGGCTGTGAGTCCGAAGCTTGGGCACTACAGAAAGCCAGTTCTCAGGTTGGGTGGGTGCACCATGGTAGCCCCAGAGCAGTATATTGCCCCTCCACCCAGGACTGGCCTTGGCATATGGCCCCAGAGACTTCCAGGAAACCCTGTCGGGAGGGCCCCTTTCAGGAATGACCTGCATGCTGTTGCTAAGTCTGACTAGCAGTTTATAAAGTGATGAATAATACGCCCCACACTCCCTCTGCCCAATAGTAGTGATCTGAAGTACAGATCTAGCCTGAGAGAGAGTTCCGGTGCTGCAGACGGCTCTTCCCCATGTCACTCAGCCTTTGGGTGAAGTAAGGACAGAAAAGCAACTCCCAAGGTGTCTCTTTCTTTTAGAGGGCAGATCCAAGGTTGCTCAGAGTTTCCCATTTGGGGAGTTCAGCTGTGCCCTTCCACCACTCCCTCTAACCCCACTGCCCTCCCTTTTTCCCCACCACCCCCAGGCAATGCCTCTTCATTTGGCTGCCCATCAGTTTGGGCTGGGCTGGGATGTGCAGCAGTCCTCCCATATTCCATATGTTGGCTCTCCCCTTAAAGGGAATTGACCAGAAGGCACAAATGCAGAGGTGGCGCCAGACCTTCAGCTCAGCATCCACAGGCAACACAGCACAACAGTCGCCTGTGGTGAGTCAGGCAACAGCAGCTCTGAGACAGTTTCCTTATTATACAATTGGAGCCAATGCTTCCTCCTCCTTTCCTCAGTGGAAGAGGCACAGCTAGCTAGTAGGAAGGAGATAGGTTGAACTCCTAGACACACACACACACTCATACGCACACATGTGCATGCACACACTCTCACACGCACATACATTTGCCCAATCTGACGACAAGGACAAACACTTTGCAGAAGGAGCACCTTCTCCAACTCCTGGGTCCCTGCCTCAGATCTATTCCTCAGCCCTGAAGATATTTCAGCCTCAGCCAGAAGGGGCTTCCAAAATCCATGTGCTTTAGTGCCTTTTCAAACACATGGAACAGACTGCAACGTCGGTAACTTTTCAAATTGCGGCTCCTGAGGACTTGCCTACATATATTTGAGCGAAAGATAAAAAGGTGCATTACTACTCTTTCCACCCCCCTCCTTCTGGCCCTCACCTCACTCTTAAAGCTGCAAGCTTTAAGGAAAGAAACTAGACTATCACTTCAGTTTTTCTTGCCAGGCAGGAAAACAAAATAATAGTAACAACACCAAGCAAGTGCCCTACATTGTGCTAGCACCAATGAATAAATGAATGAATGAGCATTTGCAAGGCGCTCCTGGCACACGCGCGGGAGGGGCAAGGGGTCGCAGACGCCTCTGGAGAAAGTGCTTGACCCTCCAACAGGCGCGAATATCAAATCAAAGAGCAAGCAACTCACCTTTAGGTTGTGCGTGGGGTTCACAACGCAGACAAGTTGCCCAGCAGCGGAGAAAACCCGTTTAGCCTTGTAGTGCTGGAACCGGAGGTGGATGAGATCTAACACAGCCCCAAAGCACTGGGTGAAGAAAAGCATCACAACTTTTGGGGGGTGGTTGGCACCGGGAAGCCGCGGAGGAAGCTGCGAGTCCGGGGGCGGTGGAAAGAGCGCAGCCGGCGAGACACTCCTCTCCAGCCTGGCTTAGCGCGCCTTCATATTCATCATCAAAATAAGACGGTTAGAATCTTGCAGCAGTGAGGCGGCCAATCAAAAGGACAGAAATGTTATCCTTGAGGTGCAGAGACAGCCAATAACAAATGCCTCCCCTACTGAAACTCCCTGATGAATTGAGCCTGGCGGAGAATGTATTATTGAACATTACCATAGATCAGCACATTGCATTTATCTTGTGATTACAGCCAGCCATACATAATGCTGGGGAGAGAGGCTGACAAAATTGATTGCTTAATGTGTCTCCATTTATTAATTGACTTAATTTAACATGAGAGCCTTTCTTAATGCCCTGGCAAAAACAGGAAGCGTTTACACCTCCAAATAGTAAAGCACCCGGCTCCAAAGTAGGCAGATGGATAAACGCAGATCAATCAGAGCTCCGCTCGCCAGAGCTGCTTGGGAGAAAACCAAATATTACAAGACTCCTCCGATTCCAGAGAAGAATTTGGCAGCAGTAGAAATGTGTATGTTTCAATCTTGCGAGTGCTCTCTGCTATTTGGATTTCAGCCCCTTGATAAATCTTACGCTCTACTCTTTATAGAAGAAAAGAATCCCTGATAAATGCATTTGGAGTTACAGGGGGGAAGTGTATGTGTATCTCTAAAACACTGTAATTACTGAAGCCTGAAAGTATCAAAGATTAAAAATGAACAGAGTATTCTTCTAAAAATAATGAAATCCCTGATGCATGAGTGCACACATACATAGAGAAATCTACACAGAGAGGAAAGTGGCTTGTAAATCAGCAAAATAATTACAGATGCAGAAGGCCTTTGCTTGTCATTCATTTGCGTATTGGTGGGCAGCAAATTGCTAATTAACCACTAGATTGTTGGAGACATTAAAACAAAAATTAAGAGCGCACACCACATCATTTGCTCTCTCTGCTACTGCTAGCAGCAGGTTTCTGTGCTCAGACAGGCAGAGAGCATCTAGGTCTCAAACTGCGGGCTCCCTCCCTGGAACAAGGTCAACTGAGAGCTGAGCACACTGACTGGTTTTTGAAGAAAGGCTCCTAAGCACAGAGGGTTCTAAGTGTTTCTCAGGAAACGCTCTGATGGTTTATTTCGTTTTGGGGACTAACGGGTGTGTTGTTCTTTACTTCTTTGGCTGTTTCTCTGTTATGAACTCAGCCCAAATCCATGGCCATCTGGGTCAAGATGAGCCTTTGGGTGTGTGAGCCCATTGCTCTTTCCTGAATAGCTGTTGTTTAGCTCTGGCTACTGGGGTTGAGTTGTAATATCTGTAAGGACTACATACACCTGGGACACCTAAGTCTGTGCCTGCCAGGCAATGAAACCAAACAGCAGATTAAAACAGAAACAAAGGTACAGGTTTACCGAAAGCAGAAAGAAATTTAAAATCAAACCAATGTTTTAAGGAACAAATAAGCCAAACACCAATTAAAATAGAAACTCTACATTCTCAATTAATTGCACTGGCCCAAAACTACAACATGACAGTAATTGAAGTGGTTAGAACCTCATCAACGTGCAGGTTAGGAGTCCCTGGACCCACTCATTATGTTGCTCATAAATAAGAGTTGCTGGCCCAGAAAACTAGCATCTTCTCTTTAAAATCTTCATTCTCCAGAAAAAGTTTTCATCA